GGGCTTTGACCTCCCGCTGTGTGCGGCCTAGCGGGGCCTCCGGTGCGCCGCTGGCCTGGCTTTCCCCTCCGAGCCGTGGCCCGTCTTTTCCCAGGGGGCCTCGGCAGCCTGGTTGCTCGAGCCCTTTGCTTTCTTAAATTATGTGATTCCGTGCTTTTTGCCGCTACGTTTCCAATTAACGTTGTAGAGCTGTAGAATGGTTGATGTTGGGAGGCACCTCTGGAGGTTATCTAGTCCCGCCCCCTTCCTCAGAGCAGGGCTCTCCAGCTAGCAGCTGTATCACAGGAAACGTGTTTGAGTTTCACCTAAGGATGTGGGGTTTTGGGGGGGGGGATTTTTTTTTTTTTTAAATCAAGAAACTTAATAGAATCCTTCTTGTTATTTATAGCATATTGCACACCAAAAGAGCACTTCATGCAAGTCAGCAGTGCTTGGCTCCTCTACCCCCTCTGCCTGAGAAAGGAGGAGAAGTACGTTATGGTTTAATTCCTGAGGAGTTCTTCCAGTTTCTTTACCCTAAAACAGGAGTCACAGGTTAATATTTATCTATATTTTTTTTAATCTGTGTTTGGTTATGCTTACTTAGTTCTGTCCACAATTAGTAATTGGTAAATAGGTAAAATATTAGGGAAAAGGCTGGCTTTTCTTTGGTGAGCATCCTGGATATGTGGAAAGCAAGGTGCTTAATTTAGAATGAGAGGAAGAGCAATTCTTATATTCTGTTAAATGATGGATTCTACAGAAAAATTACGTTTTGAGGAACTCGGAACCTTTCCATTTTACTCTTTGGGAAATAGAAGAGGTGATAAAAGCAGTCTGAAAGTCTGCACAGTATTCTTTAGTTTGAAAGTGCCCTGGAATAGCCTGGGTAGTTCAGTGGCATGCTCCTGACCATATTTTGTATATGCAGAAGTAGTTCTATTCAGGTGCTGAAGAATGAGTCAGTGTAGCACTAAAAGCTGCTATTGAGCTTCAAAGCTATAAAGCTATGCACCTGTGCTTTAAAGAAAAGTTAGAAGTATAGCATGGGCTTGAAAGAAAAATATTTATTTGCCTGCTGGCTCTCAAAACCTTTAAGTATAGACTTTTGCCTGTTTCTAAATGAGCAGAAGCTGCAAATCCCATCGAAGGTGTAACTTGCTTGCATATGTAGTGAGTGTCCTTATTGCACCAATGATCGTGGTGGTGTTGGATTTGTATACTTGCTTACGGTAAAAGAGAATATTTCTTGCTCTTGTTGTGTATCTTAAACTATTCACCTCTTTTTTTAGGTGTTTGGCTTGAATGAGCATGCTTACACCTCATACCAATAGTGCTGCTTCGTTCTTTCTTTAGGACCTTATATGTTGGGGACTGGACTCCTGCTTTACTTTCTTTCTAAAGAAATCTATGTCGTTAACCATGAGACTGTTGCAGCTGCCTGCATATTGTCAGTCTTGATTTATGGTGTAAAAAAATATGGGTCTGATGTAGCAGCTTTTGCTGACAAACTTAATGAGGTAAGAAAAGAAACCGTAATCTGACTTTACACTGATAATTCTAAGTAATCTGCTTAAATATTAAATGCTGCGTTCAGGTTGTCAAAGAATCTGTGCCCATTGTCTTCAGAACAATGCTTAAATAAGGTGTGCTATAGATCTTATGTCAGTATTGCTGTCTACGCCTTCAAAAATAATACATTCTATATCAATGCAGATACTCAATGGAATGATTTTAAGTAAGGTCAATTGTGAACCATAATTTTTCTGTCATGCTAACTTTTAACCTCCAACCTGACAATTCAGCTTGCACAAACAATTCTCAAATCGTAACAGAGAATTTTGAAAATTAGTTACAACTTACTTTCCTTGCATCTTATTTTCATTCTGAAGTGTGTGTGTGTATATGCATATATATATGCCTGTATGTATGTATATATATATGTATAAATTTTTTTTTTTCAGGAGAAACTTGCTGCAGCTTTAGCTGTGAAGAATGATTCAATTAAAGGTCTTGAGACTGCAATTGAACAGGAGAAGAAAGAACAGTGGAGGGTTGAGGGCCGCAGTTATCTCTTTGATGCTAAGCGGGTATGCAGCTCCAGCCCTACTGTTGATTGTTTTTGCTGCCTTCACTATGCAATCTGAGTGCCTCTTAGATTACTAACAAGTAGCAAACCATTTGCAATATGTATATTGCAGACTTGTCAAGTTTTACTCCCTGATACGATTACTTTTTTTTTTTAATAGAACTGTGTTCTCTTGCTGTTTTGTAATTTTGCCAAATCTTAACCAGTTGGTTTCATCCTTTGCATATAGAATAATATTGCAATGTTGCTAGAGACTAACTACCGAGAAAGACTGCTGACAGTGTACAATGAAGTAAAGAAAAGGTTGGACTACCAAGTGGCTATGCAGCTTTTAAAGCGTCAGAAAGAACAAGATCACATGATTCAGTGGGTAGAGAAAAATGTTGTTCAGAGCATCACGCCTCAGCAGGTACGTCATTTGCTTTTATCTGCTTTACATTTTAGTTTGCAAAAATGTTTGCTGGTCAGTGCTTGTGCCTTAAGCCAGAAAATGCTAAGTCGTGTGTGCGTGACTTCCGCGTTGATCTGAGATGCATTCCTACTGCTGAGTAAAAGCTAGCGTGTCCAGTTGTTGGGTACCAGATGCTTATGCTGCTGGTGATTTCAGCTAGAACATTCATGTTGTTTTGTTTTTCCAGCATAGTGCTAAGCTTGCAATAAGGTATGTTGCTTACAGATCAGGGAAGCTGCTTGTAAAATTCCACGTGTAAGACTTCAGCAGTTTAGGATCTACAGAGGGATTTTAGATGTCCTTTCTCTAATGAACAAACCTGAGAACAAGAAAACAAGTGTTCACAGCTATGCTTGCTAATGCTTTAACATAAGCCATTATTTGGATTTGAATCTCTTGACTTCATGAATTACAATAATAGACCTTTTAGTCTCTGCCTCGTTTCATGGGTCTAAAGTTCATGAGAATGCGTGTTTTGCATGTTTAAATATCTTTTGGCAAGTTTGTCTTCTGAAAGTTGTTTTCTTTTCTTTTGCAGCAGAAGGACAGTGTTGCAAAATGCATTTTAGACCTGAAAGCATTATCGAAGAGCGCACAGATGACAGTGTAACCATGTTGCATCTGATTCCATAGACATGTGTCTTCTATGATTTATTGTTGGAAACTGATTCTGATGCTTCATTAAAAAACTCTACTGTCCTTGACTAACAGTAGTGACACTGATTTCCTTTTTTGTGTTCATAGTAACTTAGTCTGTAAGATAAACCAACTACTCTGGTTGGAGAAAGAAGCGTGGGATTACTTAAAACCGTGGCGTGTGCGATTCTGTATGGTTCCTGGTTTGGTCATGAACACGACAGAGATGAGGCAGAGGACTGATTAGTAGAATTTTTCACTGTGATGCTAAAAGAGTGACTGGTTTTTGTTAGTTATCTGTGATTGTGACCTACATTTGTAACAACTGTTAACATGTTTTAAAAACAAAGTGAGTGCTAGTGCTCCCA